TTCTTATTACCCTCAAGAATTAACTTTTACCCCTTTTGGGTTAAGTTTATATCGGTTCGCACACCCATGCTTTATACTTTTAAAATTATATAATTTATTCTTCAAAACATAAATATCTGAATAGTAAAAAAAAAAGTAAACATAAAATATGCAATCAATATGCATACTAGTTTCCTTGGATGGACCACTGGATTAATATCAATTCATTTAAGTATTATTTAAGTAAATGTAATTTAATTTGCATTTTACCGGAGTGTAATTCTATTCAATTTAGTTAGGAAAAGCAATAACTCGAATAGTCCGGTTTTATAAAATAATTTAGATTTTTCTATATTAACGTTTGTAATTTTATGTAATAATTTATTTTTAAATAAACAGATTTTATCAACTAATTTTGTTTTTTAACAATTCGGATTTCATTCAATTATACAGTATATTCCCATATAACGAGAGTTTCTATAACGCGTTAAAAATATTGGGACAAGAATGTAATGCAATTTATATCAATGGAGTTATAGGAGAAATCTCGTTTAACACGATTTCATACAACACCTAACCGTGTTATATTGTAAATTCAGAAAATAAATACTCAATTAATATATTCAAAACAAATAATAGTAATAACTCTAACAGTACTTTTTTTCTAAATTAGTAAACAAGCTTGTTATTGTTACATTAATGGTTGTTTATTTTTCTTCTATATACTTCTACATACACTATATGTGGGTTTTTAAAGTCTTCAATTAGTCCAGAATATAGGCGGAATCGAATACCAGGACTATTCGAGTTATTACTGTAAATATATTAATTTGTATTTCATTTATTATTATAATCATTTGTAAGAGTACAATTTTTATTTGGAATTATTTGCTTCAAGAAGTATTACGGACTAAATAAACTTGTGCTGTTTATATTCGTGTCATTTTGTATTGTCAGTTAAATTAATTTAATGTCTATTTAAAAGGTAGTGTATGTTGTTGATGGTAGTGTACGTTGTGTATGAAGGATGTGTGGAAAAATGATCACCTAAAAGCGTTCCATTTCCATTCATCGGACCAGCGCGTCACCTTACGTAACCCAGAAGATGCAATTCGTTCATGGGTCGTGGTGGATGCATGCACGTCCATTCCGGGACGGCGGCATATAAATATAAATGCGAACCGCCGTTGGCAAACTTAATTTTATAGTGCATTATTGTCTAAGATGTCGCGCGGCGAAGAAAAATGCTCGTCATAAGTTATTGTCACGGCGCGGAGTATTTGTACTGGAAAATGAAAGTTCCTGATAAATGTGTTGTTGTAATGTTTTGCATATATAAATATTATAGTTCAAGCAAACAGACCATCTCTCCTTGTACGGCTCGGAGACCATTAATAAAGCCGCGTGCTTTATGCCACGTAATCTTATTTCCATTTATGCATCAAAATCAACTTCGAATAACAACAACAAACAATCAACATAATTATTTCACTATTTCAAATACAGTCAGCGTTCGATTAACGTACATAATTTATTATACGTTAAATCGTATTTTTAATGTACGTTAATCGGATATTGATTGAAAAACTTCATACACACTAACGTACTTTAAATTCATACAAAAGTGCACTGTTTATTGTTTATTTACTTTTTCTTGTTCGGACATAGAAAATACCGATAAATTGAATATAACATAAATACATAATATATCTCTCCAAACTAGGTATTCTAATTATTTAAGTACATAATACATACAGAATTTATCTCATGAAACTTGGTATTCTAATTATTGATGTATTTAAAATACTCTCAGTGTTCGCTTAACGTACATAATACATACACAATTTATCGTACTTTTGATCGTATATTCTTTGGATAACTTCATTGAGATATAAGTTAAATACACAATATATCTCACGAAACTTGGCATTCTAATTATTTATGTATTTAAAATACTCCAGTGTTCGATTAACGTACATAAGCGTACACAATTTATCTTACTTTTAATCGTATATTCTTTGGAAAAAATTCATTCAAATATAAGTTAAATACACAATATATCTCACGAAACTTGGAATTCTAATTATTTAAGTATTTAAAATACTCTCAGTGTTCGCTTAACGTACATAATGCATATACAATTTATCATACTTTTAATCGTATTTTTAATGTACGTTAATCGGAAATTGTTTGAAAAACTTCATTCACACTAACATACTTTAAATTCACACAAACGTACACAGTTTATTGTTTATTTACTTTTTCTTGTACGGACATAGACAATACCGATAAATTGAATATAACTTAAATACATAATATATCTCTCCAAACTAGGTATTCTAATTATTGATGTATTTAAAATACTCTCAGTGTTCGCTTAACGTACATAATACATACACAATTTATCGTACTTTTGATCGTATATTCTTTGGATAACTTCATTGAAATATAAGTTAAATACACAATATATCTCACGAAACTTGGTATTCTAATTATTTATGTATTTAAAATACTCCAGTGTTCGATTAACGTACATAAGCGTACATAATTTATCTTACTTTTAATCGTATATTCTTTGGAAAAATTCATTCGAATATAAGTTAAATACACAATATATCTCACGAAACTTGGAATTCTAATTATTTAAGTATTTAAAATACTCTCAGTGTTCGCTTAAAATACTCTTAGTGTTCGCTTAACGTACATAATGCATATACAATTTATCATACTTTTAATCGTATAATGTTTGAAAAACTTCATTCCAATATAAGTTAAATACACAATTTATCTGACGAAACTTGGTATTCTAATTATGTATGTATTTAAAATTTTCCAGTGATCGATTAACGTACATAAGCGTACACAATTCATCATACTTTTAATCGTATTTTTAATGTACGTTAATCGGAAATTGTTTGAAATACCTCATTTGCACTAACTTACTATAAATTCATACAAACGTACACTGTTTATTGTTTATCTCCTTTTTTGTACGGACATAGACAAAACCGACTAATTGAATGTTAATTAAATACAAAATATATCTCCCCAAACTAGGAATTCTAATTATTTATGTATGTAAAATACACTCAGTGTTCGCTTAACGTATATAAGCGTACATAATTCATCATGCTTTTAATCATATTTTTAATGTACGTTAATCGGAAATTGTTTGAAAAACTTCATTCGCACTAACGTACTCTAAATTTATACAAACGTGCACTGTTTATTGTTTATCTACTTTTTCTTATACAGACATACTCAACACCGATAAATTGAATATAACTTAAATAAATAATATATCTCTCCAAACTTGATATTTTAATTATTTAAGTATTTAAAATACTGCAGTGTTTGATTAACGTACATAATGCGTACACAATTCATCATACTTTTAATCATATTTTTAATGTACGTTAATCGGAAATTTTTTGAAAAATTAATTCGCACTAACGTACTTTAAATTCATACAAACGTACAAAATTTATTGTTTATTATACGGACATAGACAATACCGATAAATTAAATATTACTTAAATACATAATATATCTCTCCAAACAAGGTATTCTAATTATTTAACTATTTAAAATACTCTCAGTGTTCACTTAACGTACATAATGTATACACAATTTACCATACTTCTAATTGTATATTCTTTGAAAAACTTCATTCGAATATAAGTTAAATACACAATATATCTCACGAAACTTGGAATTCTAATTATTTATGTATGTAAAATACTCTCAGTATTTGCTTAACGTACATAATGCATACACAATTTATCATACTTTTTATCTATATTCTTTTGAAAACTTCATTCCAATATAAGTTAAATATACAATATATCTCACGAAACTTGGTATTCTAATTATGTATGTGTTTAAAATTTTTCAGTGATCGATTAACGTACATAAGCGTACACAATTCATCATACTTTTAATCGTATTTTTAATGTACGTTAATCGGAAATTGTTTGAAAAACTTCATTCGCACTAACGTACTTTAAATTCATACAAACGTACACTGTTTATTGTTTATCTACTTTATTGTACGGACATAGACAATACCTATAAATTGAATATAACTTAAATACATAATATATCTCTCCAAACTTGAAATTTTAATTATTTATGTATGTAAAATACACTCAGTGTTCGCTTAACGTACATAATGCATACACAATTTACCATACTTTTGATCGTATATTCTTTGAATAACTTCATTCGTATATAAGTTAAATACACAATATTTCTCACGAAACTTGGTATTTATGTATGTATTTAAAATACTCAAGTGTTCGCTTAACGTACATAATGCATACACAATGTACCATACGTTTGATCGTATATTCTTTGGAAAAGTTCATTCGAATATAAGTTAAATGCACAATATATCTCACGAAACTTGTGTTCTAATTATGTATGTAGTTAAAATACTCCAGTGTTCGATTAACGTATTTAATGCGTACATAATTTATTGTGATATAAGCAAATATATGTTAATCGAATAATTTAATTTATTAAAAACGAATGAATATAATATTTTTTGATAAACTTCGTTCACATTAACTTACTTTAAATTTATACGATATGTATGTACCTTTAGTGATCCATAGTTGTTTTATAATGTAATATATGATATTTACGTTCATATTAATGTTATTTTTTGAATTATATAAGTTATTTATATGTTATATCATTTATTTGATGCAATAAAATATAGTATAGATAGTATAGTAAAGATGTTATAGTAAATACAGACTACTACAATACCACAACAAATCTCAAATACATTTAAATATTTGCTTAATTTAATTTGACTTCATTGTACGTTTGTACGAACAATTGTGAGTATATTCAATCAGCCGATCATGAATAATTGAACGTAGCTTAAAATTAAGAGACGGTACTAATATTATAATTTTGATCAAATTTATTAAAATATTTATTTTATAATTAGTTTGTTATTATAATATTTATTTTATTATACATTTTACAATTTTTTTGTTTATAGTTTACAAATAATTTATTAAAATTTACTCCACCACATTAATATGTTATTATATTATTCATTTCATCGATTTAACGTAAAACTTGATTATAGTTGTACCAATTCTGCTCCTAAACTCGAAATGCTTCCTACTTTTCCAGTAATCATGCAGAAAAAAATGTAATGTAAATATTACATTTTTTTAGCAAGATCTGAACATTTTTATTTTAGTTCTCATCTTCATGTATTTCCATTTTACACGCATCTCCTAATCCGACCTTGTTTCGTACCACAGCTTGCTCTTCAAAATCTTGTGTATACATCATTTCATCAGGATAATTCCTTTCAACATCAAAACCTTCGTAATATTTGGAATATTCATAAATAACAGTCATCAATCCCGAATGCGGGCACAAATCAATGTGCTTATAAATGACCACATTCTTGATGAAAGTTGTTTGAAGATATATTCCATCATCTGTGAGTTTATTCAAACATAACGTTACTTTTTCACCCTCCACCGTAATATGTCTCATTTGGAAGTCCAATTCAAGATCAAACATTTCGAAGGTATCCATAGTTGATGTTGGTTGTACAAAAACTGCAAATATTAACTAATTTAGTAGATATAGAATAATATTAAGTATTCCGCCAGAAAATTTTAATATAATATAAATTAAATTGGTCCTTTTACCTGAATGATCGATGGGTATCTTGGAGTATCAGTATTTTTGATGATGGTAGAATTTTTACCTGAATTATCCTAGAATATTACAAGAAAATTCAATCATTCACACATCAGTTGGAGACTCGGTACAATATGGTTGTTCTTCGACAGCGCTGTGTACTTTTTCTAAAGTAGATGTTTTATTTATTCTTTTTTTTAATTTAAAATCTTGTACAAGTGTCCACTATATTGCGGTATTGTGTATTCGTATGGAATATGTATATATAATAATCAAACCAGAGGAGGAATGTTCTGAACATTCATATTTGCTTTTCAGAGCCTACGGGTGGCGTATGGGAGCAGATGAGGAGGAAACTATATCGACCAAAAACAGTCTAACACTAAATTCAAAAACTAACAAAAACTACGAGCAACTGATAGCGATTTCAGTCAAAGAGTCGACGCAAATACTTTCAAAACTTCTCAAAATGTAGCTGGCGGATAAACCTCAATGAAAAACATTCTGTTTTCAGACAACCGCGAGGCGACGAGAAGAACTCAACTGTCCAAAAACCCAATAATACAAATAAAAACAGGCTTCTTGTTAAAAAAAAACAATCTCCAAGACCATTGTCCTCGCATATCTCAAAGATATGAAGGGCCGGGGTCACATTTCAAGCTTTGGTAAGAGCAACCTTCCTAAAGCGTCTAATAAAACTACTTACACCACCTCGTTGTCTTGTGTGCTCACAAAAATGGACCAAGACATTACGGACGCTAAGATTTAAAATCCGCATAATAACTGGATGCATGGACCCTTTCCAGCGACTTCTGCGTGAGGGCTTCTTCTACAAAAACTAACATTTCCCGGCAGTTGGGAGCACCTCACCAGTTCCCATCCCTTGTTGAAGGTGCCAGGAATTTACGCACGCTACGGATTCTTGTCCAAATAACAACAAACGCACCAAATATCAGGCCTAAACCCTATAACTCGATGTACATCTCCAATTTCTTCGAAGTATGCTGCATGCCTACTATTAGCACCATGCTGCATGGTCCACAAAATGATCGAAGAAGCCACGGATCAATCCTAAATACCAAGATCAAACCACTAAACAAAAAATCGTGCAAATTGTGCACCTACGCAATTAAGCAGAACTCTCCAAAGAATACGGATCGTGCAATCTTATTGAGAAGGAGCTTCATGTTCAATTATACGTATGTCTGTTTCTCAGGAAATGATACGTACATCTTGGTCTTTTGTATGGACAACATCGAATTGGAATCACATACGACCTCCACCCAGGGATATCATTTGTGGTTGTTGGTTAGTTTGGAAAGCCCTGTACATCATTTAAATAAATATTCTTAATTTTACACTAAATTTTTTTTTGTTAGATTGTCCTTTTTTATATGAAATTAGATTAACTATGAAAAGCATTTTTTTTTGTAAAATTTTCAATATATTTATGACTTCCTTTGGCACAGATTGTGTTCAATAAATATGCTTAAATAAAAAAGTTATATTGAAAAAACTGAACTGAACTGAAATAAACGCGTTAATTTCTAATCTAAAAATAAATGAAGAAATTGTGTGTAAAAGGAAGGAAAAAACGGAGGTAAATATAATGATAAAGCTAGTAGTAAGTGAACGACCTTTATTCCTAACACGCGATTCCCTCGTCAGCGAGCAAACATTTAAATTCCCTTTAATTGCTTTCTAATAATTCACGAGATTCGTGCGAGAAATGCCTATCGCATAATTAATACAGTTATGCTTTATTTATAGTTAATTGCCGCTGCTTTCGCATTTATATTCCATGAACGTTATGTTTTTATATTCCTTATACATTTCTTGAGTAATTTATATTAATACATCATAATTATATGTGATATTAACTAAATTACTCTAAGACATTTATAATCTTTTTTCTCAAATTTTACAGCTATTTGTATGAAAACAATAATTATTACTATTAGGACCAAAGTTGTTTTGTGATTTCTAATTATTTTACTTTTATATATACTTTGAAATATATATTAGTCATTGGTGGTAAAATGTAAAAACTGAATGACTTTACAAGTTTTTTTTTAATTAAAAAGCTCTCATTTAAGAATTTATATATTTAGCTTTAATTTTCAAAATAAATAATCGTATTTATATAAGAAAATACTAAAGAACTAAAGAAACCAAAATTTATATAGTTGATAATTACAAGACAAAAACAGATTTATTTCTTGAAGATTTCATTTTTATTGAAAAAAATAATAAATTAATACATTCTGGATTTTCTAGAATCTAGACACTACACATTTTCAAATTTGACAGCGATTTACAAGAAAATCGACATAGCTATAATTACAACAAAGAAATCAAATTTTATCTATAGTGTTTATTAAAAAAATATATTACATTCTATAGACTTTGATTTTCTATAGAATCTAAATGCAATATTTTTCAATCATCATCAATCAATTTCAAGAAAATCATGAAATCTTCAGAATAAATTTAGTTTTAATTATTAACAATAGTATATTTTGTTTATCGAGACAAAATAATACATTTTGTAAGTCATTTTTTCAAATTACAAGACTACAATTACACAACAACTACAAAAAAAAACACACTTTATTCCTTGAAAATCTAAATTTACAAATAAATTATGGTTATTGAGAAAAAATAGTTTTAAAATCATTGTTCATTTCTTTGATTATTTTTTTGAACATTAAAGAACATAAATAAATTATTTTATTTAAATTATGGATTTAATTAGAGTTTAATGCTATTTTACATTAGATACATATTGTTCTCCATTTTTATTTTTGCATTTACAATTGTTTAATATTTGTGTAACAAGAAAACTTTAAATTTGATAATTATATAGATTATTTACACATATTAGTATTTAATTCAGTAAATCTATATTATTCCATGTAGATTTCTCTAAGTTACAACGTATTATTCATATTCCAGACATATTTCTTAACTTGCCATAAATTATGTAATCACATATTGTATGCACAATTAAAACAATTATTTAGCGTTATTATGCATACTTAATCATTAAAAATCACATTTTATTGTATAATTAATTCAATATTTTAAATGTGAAAAACATTTGCTTAGTATAAAACTTATTATAATTTTTAATTGCTTTAGATTAGATAATTGGAAACACTAAATTTAATTTACATGGATAATTTGAATTCAATCAACTTAATCTAAATTTATCATCGATTAATAGAAAATTAACTGTTTAATATTGATATTTGTGAAAAAATCTCTTGCATATAAATCGTTATATAATTTAGTTTGCAGTTAACTTTCCGTAGCCATTTAGATCGCGTTTTAATGTATCTTTGCTACCGCGCACTTCAAGCCAATTAAGAAGACAGGAATTAAATAATTTACATAGCTAATGCACGCAAGACGCAAGAGGATGTATAGGAAAAAAACATTGTCTGGAAGGAATAGAGACGGACAAAAAAAAATGTATATAGTGGAAACGGCATTCGCGATTATAAAGCGAGGAAAGCTCTAATTGCAATTTGTTCTCATTACAGCATTTAACATAATGTGATGCGATTTTAATTATTTCGTATGAATATTATTATATTTTTTCTTCTTTGCTTATTTTTTCTTCTTAGTTTATCTGCATGGAAATTTATGGATATTAGTATCACGAGTTCGATGTTTTTGCTGCGCTCTGTAATTCATGAAGATATTTCATATCTTTATTATAAAATCAAAAATTCTAGTGAAATTCATTTATTTTAAATTATATAAATATTGCAAAAAGTATGTGTTAATATGGAATTTTTTAGAAAAATGTATAATGAAATGAAAATAAATAAGGAATTTTGAGATGTTATCTCTGTTGTAATGAAAGAGTTGTTGTAAATGAAATATGTAAGTAGAATTGATGTTACATGAAAAACGGTTATTTTCATATTGGAAATAACTGTGATGCATGTAATTTTATAGATTGATGATTTCAAAATTTATATGGATACTTTTATAAAGAAGTGAGTACATGAAATAGAGAAAATTTGAATTGATGTTACATAAAACATGGTTATTTTCGTACAGCTGAAAAAACTCTGAGATTTTTTTAGATAAGTTTAAAAGGAAGACAAATTTAATTGCATGTAATTTTATCATAAAAAAAAATATCCAAATATGTTGAAATTTCCAAACGTTTTATTGTTTTTACTATATAGATTTATGATAGTGAGTCCAATATTAAGGCAATTATCAAACATTTACATGAAATAGAGAAGATTTGTCTAAGTTATTGAGAATAACTTTAGTTATAAAATCTCTACTCATTTCTTTGTTAATTTTTTTGTAAATTAATTTTGAATTGCAACAAAACGGTTATTTTCGTATAATTGAAATAACTCTAAAATTTTTTGATAGTCTGTATACAAACATAAGTCTAAAAGAAACACAAACTTGTTTGCATGTAATTTTATAATAGAAAATATCCAAAAGTGAAAATTCCAAACGTGTATATTTACATGAAATAGAGAAGATTTATCAAAAATAAAACACATTTCATATTTTCTATAGTAATTTTATAGAAAAAGAGCTTGTCTGAAAAAAAAATAGAGCAAATTCTATAAATTTTAGTATAATTTGATTTAGTTAATTGAATCTGTTTTTTTTAGTTTTCAATTTTGGGTTTCTTGATTTTCTTCCAAATAATTTCTATGCTAAAGTCTAAAAATAAGGTAAATTTCATATATTTTTGATTTTCATATTATTGTATGTAAATTTTATAAAAAAAAAATATATAATAATTTTATAAATAAATTAAATATTGTTTAAATTAGTATTGTTTCTTATAATTTTTGCTATAATTTACTATAAATTTTAATTAAAATGCGAGATTTCTCTGCAGCAAATTTCAGTAAATCAATATAGTAAAATGTGTAAGTAATTTATTAAATATAAATTTGATGAATTCTATGCATGTTGATTAACTTATTTAAATATGAAGAGGCTAGTATTTTTTGTTCTTGTTCTTGTTTCTAACTTATAAATTTATCATCTTGTCTTCGTCTATTGAACGAAGAAACATCCTGCAGTTTATGCATCGTTTAAGTAGGTGTTTCCACACAGAAAGCAATTTCAGGAAAGTGCAAAACTCCTTTCTGCTCGTACATCGTACGCTTCGCTCCTCCCGCTTCATCTTTTATTATTATTATTTTAAACTCTTTTTTTTTTCTTCCCTACTTCATCCTTCATGCTTTCCTTTAATATAGAAATTACGGCTATATTAACTCTCGAACAATGCCAGTCATTATCCTTATAGCGTTACTTAAGGCTCTCCACTCTAATTATTGTATTCGCTCCTTCA